GTGCAGGTTTCCACGTCGGGAGCTGTAGGGATCACTGCAGCCAGAGCAAAGCTTCAAAGTGGTCAAGCCTTGTTTGGTTTGTTTGGGTTTTTTTTTGAGACAGGGTCTTGCTCTGTCACCTGGGCTAGAGTGCAGTGGCCTCATCACAGCTCGCTGCAGCCCCAAACTCCTGGGTCCAAGCGATCCTCCTGCCTCAGCCTCCCAGAGTGCAGGGACTGCAGGCGCGAGCCACCGCCTCCGGCCCCGGGCCTTGTTGTGTTATGGTCACGTGGCTGGGCTGCGTCCCCGGAAGTCTTTGCTCCCACTCTCTGACCCACGCCACAGCCACAAACGGAAGCCCCGACTCCCACGCCCGCGGCAGAGGTGCTTCAGGAACCCCGCCGGTCACCAGCCTATGACGAAGGGTGACTGGAGCTGAAAGGCAGTAACTCCATGACTGGGGACTGGGCCAACACAAACCAGGATTGATACAGACCTGTTTGTTTTTCTACCATAATACAGTCGTGTAAGTCAAATGTGTGACCATAACCATGGTGGAAATGCCACGTGAGAAGCCACCGTGAAGGGACGAGGACGTGCTCGCAGGGGAAGCAGCAACCTCAATGTGGCAGCTGCTCTGCCGCTTGTCCGGCCCGCGGGCCCCTCCCAGCCAGCGGGGAGCTTGGCAGATGCCGCTGCACGTCAGGGGTTCTGGGGTCCTGGTTTCAAAACCGATGTGTCGGTAAGGACAACAGGACACACTTCTGTCCTGGCAGCCCTCGCGCCCGAGCTCGCGGCTAGGCGGCGTCTGTGCGTTGTCAGTTGACCCTCAGCCCCCTCAGAACGGCACAGCCACACGGGCACCACCGACCCCGGACGGCCACAGCTGGCAGTCTTGGTCTTGATCCCTTAACGTTTTCTCAGGACAGAGGGTTGGCTGGTCCGTGAAAGAACCTTTCTGTATTTTCCTGTCTGTATTTTTGAATCACAAAGTCCCCATGTGTCAGTGACCTCTCAGTTCCTGTCTTGATGGTCATCTCACTTGTGGTTCCTCACCAGCCTCGTGACAGCCCTCGGGGTGACAGCCCCAGGGCACGTCCAGGTCCCCGGGGTGAGGAATGGCAACACCATGGACCATTGGGTCCTCGGAAGAAGGACCAACATGCGTGCAAGGACCGCGCCCCGGGCCTGGTCAGAGTGGGGGGGGGCACGGTCTGTGGGGCAGCCCCGCATCTGGCCTCAGCCTCAGGGGGGCAATGGGCCGACACGCCCTGATGAAACCCGAGCAGGCCCGGTGGCCCCGCAGTGCCGGCAGCTGACCCTGAGCCGAGAACCAGGCCCAGCCGCTTTTCCTCGCGGACATGCGATTTCGCCTAAGTCTCTGCCGTGCTTTTGCTCTGGGAGACAGTGGGTCAGTTTTCTCCTGCCGCGTAACAAATCTCCACCCGGCCAGCAGTGGAGGCGACGCGGCATCATCTCAGCCTGCTGGGTCTTCAGCGTAGGGGCTGCCAGTGTTCTCCGAGGCTGCGGTCTCGGCGCAGTTCCTTGCAGCCGTGGGACTGAGGTCAGTGTCTCCGTGGCTGTCCCAGGGCTGCCTCCAGGTTCTCGCCCCGTGGCCCACCCGGGAGCTGTGTCACGCTCGGCAGGCCTCTTGGTGGCTGTCCCCTGGAGGCCGGGGGGAGCGGCTCGCTGCCTCGGGCCGTGGCGGAGGCTCTGCAGCCGGGGCGGGACCTCATCGCGGGTAGGAGGGAGCTGCAGGGGTCTCGGGCCCATCCTGGAGTTCTGCTACCACAGGGGCCTCATAGGGGCCGCTTTCCTGGAATGTGGCTGTAAATCTCACGCGTGTAAACCAGGCGTCTCAGAGTCTTCCCAGGGCCCAGACCTCCTCCACTGCCCTGCGCTCCTGCTCCATCTGCCCAGGAGGCGGCTTCCCCGGGCCCTGGCCTGGGTGTTTGCTTGTCACGCATGAGGCCCTTCCGAGGAAGCCCCCGGCCCGCTTGGTCCTCCAGCCGTACTTGCGGCCGTCTGTGAGCGCCAGGCCTGTGCTCTGTCCCCGAGGGAGGGACTGCAGGGTTGGTGTGGCACTGAAGTCCCACTGCCGGGACATGCCTGGCACACAGTAGGTGCTCAGTGACTGCTTGCCGAACGATGAACCAACGAACACCTTCACGGGTGGGTAGCTGTGTGACATGTATCTGTGTGTGTCCGTGTGTGTGTGTCGTGCCCGTGTGGGCGTGTCACTGGGCTGGCTGTATCTCTGAGTGCCTGTGGTTTTTCTTCCCTATGAGCCGGGCTGCCTGGAATGTCCGAGTCACCAGGAGCCGGAGCCAACATCCGACCCTCGGGCTCTGAGCCCAGCGGGCTGGCTAGGCTCCAGCCCACCATCCCCCTCCCACCCCCACTGCCCCCTCCCCCCTCAGCCACACCCCTAGGAGGAGGCCAGGAGGGTCCCGGGCTCTGGTCTGGTTGGGGGCTTGGCCAGAGCATGGTGATGTCAGTGGCTTTGTTTTGTCCTGCTCTGTCCTCTTTCTGGAGAGACAAAAACGCCAGCAGGGCTGGGACAGCAGGTCGCATGTTCGCGGCACAGCGAGCAGGCCTTGGACTCGCGGGGACTCCACAGTCCCAGCCCAGGCAGGGCAGCAGGGGCTCAGGCCTGGTCACAGGAGGGGCAGGTGGCCTGGTCGGCAGCCCAGCTCTCGTCCCGTGGCCGTTTCCCGCTGGGGACGGGGCGGCAGGCCCTTTGCTGCTAATCAGGGCCCCACCAACCTCAGGTGGACAGCGCAGGATGAGCAGGGAGGGAGGGGTGCAGCCTCCATGGCCTCTGTCTGTCCTTAGCCGGGGGCACAAGGGAGTCAGCTGCCCGCCAAGTGGCCCTCTCAGAGGTCGGGTCCACTCAGACTGCGGCACCTGGCCCTGTGGCCTGCACCAGGGCTGGCTGGGTCTACGGCCTGAGGGTCCCACTGGACTCCCGCAAGCATGGCCTGAGGCCAGAGAACCTGCCTCGGGAGGAAGGCCCTGCAGGGGGTTCAGGTGCCTGGCCTGAAGCCAGGTGGACCAGGTGCCTCAGTCTCCTTCCGGCTGAGGGCTGGAAGCTGCCCCGCCCTGTACCTGGAGCCGGCTCCGTCCCCGACTGCCCCTGCAGCACTGCCTGGACACCCTCCCTCAGAGGGAGAGCGGAGAGAGGCCAGAGGAGGCAGAGGTGGAGACAGACAGACATGGCTGGCGGGAAGGCGGCCGCCAGCGCTAATAGAAACCAGTTGGAAAAACAGGAGGCGAGGCCAGCAGAGGCCAGGCCTTGAGGCCGGCCAGGTGGGGCTTGTTTTTCCAGAATGAAAGGCCCAGGGAGGAGCTGGTGGGGGAGGCGAAGTTTGAGCCTGATTCCAGCTTGGAAAGGGGCTGCCCCCGGCCTGGGCCCTGCTGAGGACATGCGTCCGCAGGGCGGGGCTGTGTCCTCTCCTAGAGGGGCCTCCTCCCCTGTCTGGAGACCACGAGTCTGCGCTGGGCTGGCCCCCAGCTCGTCTGAGGACTTGGGGACAGGGCAGGGCTCAGGGTGAGACCCCTCGCCCACCAGGCACTGGGCCTGTACGGAAGGCTCAGTCCAAATGGGCGGTTCAAACTATGCGCCCAAGGTTTTTGTGGTTGTTTGAATTTTTTTTACTTTTGAGGTTTGCTTAACTAGAAGGAGTGGGTTTGGTACATAGTGCCTGCTCTGTTATTTCGCATTGTTTATGTGACTTTGTAAGTTTTCCCAGAGCTTCAAATTTGTGCCTTCTGTCGAGGAGGGGGGGTCCCACTCCCCGCTTCTTCCTGGGTAAGGGTCTCCCAGGAGCACTGTGACCCGGGTCTGGGTAGGCAGGAGTCTGGGTAGGTGGGGTCTGGGTAGGAGGGGTCTGGGTAGGTGGGTTCTGGGTAGGTGGGGTCTGGGTAGGGGGGTTCTGGGTAGGCAGGGGTCTGGGTAGGTGGGGTCTGGGTAGGCGGGTTCTGGGTAGGTGGGGTCTGGGTAGGGGGGTTCTGGGTAGGCAGGGGTCTGGGTAGGTGGGTTCTGGGTAGGGGGATTCTGGGTAGGTAGGGTCTGGGTAGGTGGGGTTTGGGTAGGCGGGTTCTGGGTAGGCGGGGTCTGGGTAGGTGGGTTCTGGGTAGGTGGGGTCTGGGTAGGTGGGTTCTGGGTAGGGGGGTTCTGGGTAGGTGGGGTCTGGGTAGGGGGGTTCTGGGTAGGTGGGTTCTGGGTAGGCGGGGTCTGGGTAGGTGGGTTCTGGGTAGGTGGGGTCTGGGTAGTCTGGGTAGGTGGGGTCTGGGTAGGTGGGGTCTGGGTAAATGGGTTCTGGGTTAGGCGAGGTCTGGGTCTCTGAAGAGCACTGTGACCAGGGTCTAGTTTCAGGGACACCCTGTGCGTAGGTCCTGGGCGACTGGGCCAGGAGGGGAGCGGTCTGCTCACCCCAGGCTCCCCGATTCAGGGTCCCCCATCTCCCTGGCCGACTCCTTTGGATCCTAAAGGCGACTGAGCAGCAGTGCCCATCACGCTGTCCTGAGGGAGCCCACCACAGATGGCCCCCAGAGGACAAGGTGTGCCAGGTTGTCCCCAGCCAAGGGTCAGAGCCGGAAGAGCCTCCTGGCCTGCAGAGAGGGTGGGGGGCTGCCGTGGGGGCAGCGGCTGCCTTTCTGCTGGCCTGGAGCAGGCAGACGGGAGAGGATCCTGCGGGAAATGCCAGGCGTGGGGGCGAAGAGGCCTCTCTCCCTAGAACTCCAGCCCCAAAGCACCCAGGAAGGGTCCCAGATGTCACAGACACGCCCACAGGCCATCAGGGGTCCGCAGCCTCAGGCCCTCTTGCGCCTCCCCAGGACCTGCCTCGAGGGGCTGGGCCTCCCCTCCCACCCCACTGGGGCAGTGCTGCCCTCCCGCCAAGACAGCCAACGCTGGGGCAGCCCAGGCCCTGCACAGCCAGAGGGGGCGGTCCACAGCATGTCGACAGCCCAGGGCTCCGTGATGTCATAGCGGGTGCTCGGGAGGGGGAGGGGGTCCGGCTGTTTTTCTGGAGAGTTACAGCCGGAGTGAGACAAAGCAGCGGGGCTGGGCTGGGGCCATGGAGCTGCCGTCCCGCATCCTGCTGTGGAAACTTGTGCTTCTGCAGAGTGAGTGCCGGGTGCAGGACGGCCAGGGGGTCTGAGTGAATCTGTGTCTTGTCAAGCTTCGGCAGGAGGTGTGGGACAGCCCACCCGGGAGGGAGATGGGTGTGGGGGGACTTGGAGCTGCTCCCCAGGAGGGTGTGAAGTCCGCAGTCAGACCTCAGCCAGACCTCCCCTCCCAGGGGGCCGAAGCCCAGAGGCCAAGAAGGGTGAGGGGTGGGGGGCTGGAGCAGTGGGGCGCCTCCTGGGGTCCTCACCTCCACTGGGGCTCGAGGGGAAGCCCCTCAGGTCTGTGCATCTCCCAGTCACAGGAAGGGGAGTGGGCTTGGAGGTTGAGGGGGCCTGAGAACTCTGGGGCTTGCAGGGTCTGTTACAGCCCCCTCCTGGGCCCCCTGAGCCCGCCCCAGCCTGGCCTGCTGACCCGGCACATTCCTCTGGGAAGCTCCCAGGCACTCAGCCACATCTCTGGAGAAGCGTCTTCGTGTAGGACCTTTAGGCCGGCAGCGCCCTGCAATGGCCAGGAGAGCTGCACAACAGAAATAAGGATTTTGTCACAGGTCCTGGGGGTGCACGGCACACCTGGAGGAGCCGTGGAGAGAGAGGGGGACCCGTGGGCCAACCCCGCCATTGGTCCCGGGTGTTACCCAAACAGGCTTCCTGAGGGAGCTCTAACAGTGGGTCTGGAGCATCAGGCTCCAGCTCCGTGGGCCCCACTGTGACCGAGGGGCCACTGCAGCAGGTCTGCCTGGCCCACGTGGCTGCAGCCAGCTGTCCCCGAGGGAGGTGGTCCCCAGGGAGCAGCTGCATAAGGCAGGTGTCTGGAGTGGCCCCCAGTTGCGGAGCTAGGTGGGGGAGGGGTGTAGAACTGGAAACTGTCCAGGTGACAGCCCTGCTTCCGCGTGAGAAAGTCCAACTATGGTCAAAGCAGACGCCGAGGGAACCTAGAATTTTAAGAATTCAGCAGGAACGAGTGCCGTTGGGGTGGTGGACAGGGGTCACTGCCCACGTCCAGCCTTGCTGCGCTTCAGGCCCCTGTCCTGGGGAGGCTCTGCAGGGGCCCCGCCCTGAGCCCTGGGTGTGGGGTGCGGCTCCCGGTGGTCTGAAGACAGGTGCACGTGCTGCCTCTGGGTGAATGTGTGGAGCCCCCAGAGCCAGCCTGGGGTGCCAGGTGTTGATGCTCTGGGTCGACTGCTGCAGTGATGGGGGGACGGCCACCATTCCTGAGCATTGGCCCTGGGGACACCTACACACTCCAGAGCCGGCCTGTATGGGGTCCAGTCCTGGCCCACCTCTCACCCCCTGCTTCCTCACTCCCAGAGGGCAGGTGCTGTCCCCACAGCCCAGGCAGGGTGGCAGCGAGGGCTGAGCAGGGGCTGTTTCACAGGCCCCCCACCTTGTGTCCCTGGCCTCAGCCTCCCCCCCACCTGTTAGGTGGGCCTCACAGCAGCCACATGGTCGAGGACCACGGGAGGGACCCAGGGAGCCAAGTGCGGGTTCCCGGGAGAGGGGTGAATGGGGTTGCAAAGGCTGAGGCTGCCCGTCTCCCTCCCCCTCTTCCAGGCTCTGCTGTTCTTCTGTACACAGGTTAGTGACCACCCTGCCCCAGGGACTCCCTCCCACACCAGTGCCCTCCCATCTTGCCAGGCCCACCCTGGGCCTGTCCCCTTGGGTCCCACCCCTTCCCCTCTGACTCGCCCTATCCCACCAGGACCCTCGGGGCCCGCGAGCGCGGGCAGCTCCGTGGTGTCCGAGTCCAAGGTGAGTTGGGCAGCAGGCTCCGTGGCGCTGCTGCGCTGCCAGAGCCCGCGCATGGTGTGGACCCAAGACCGGCTGCACGACCGCCAGCGCGTGGTCCACTGGGACCTCAGCGGCGGCCCGGGCGGCCCCGCGCGCCGCCTGGTGGACATGTACTCGGCGGGCGAGCAGCGCGTGTACGAGCCGCGCGACCGCGGCCGCCTCCTGCTGTCGCCCTCCGCCTTCCACGACGGCAACTTCTCGCTGCTCATCCGCGGTACGGGGGCTCGGAGCTGGGGCCCGGGGACTGGGGCTCCGGGGGCGCGGGCGGGACCGCGACGCTCACGCGCGGTTTTCTCCCGGCGCGCAGCGGTGGAGGAGACAGACGAGGGGCTGTACACCTGCAGCCTGCACCACCACTACTGCCACCTCTACGAGAGCCTGGCCGTCCGCCTGGAGGTCACCGATAGCCGTGAGTGTGCGCCCCCGCGGCCCGCCCCCGCCCGCGCTACCCGGCCCGCGCTACCCGGCCCGCGGGCCGCTGACCGCGTCCCCTCCGCAGCCCGGGCCGCCCGCGCGTACTGGGACGGCGAGAAGGAGGTGCTGCAGGTGGAGCGCGGCGCGCCCGCGCTGCTGACCTGCGTGAACCGCGCGCACGTGTGGACCGACCGGCACCTGGAGGAGGCGCAGCAGGTGGTGCACTGGGACCGGCAGCCGCCGGGGGTGCCGCACGACCGCGCGGACCGCCTGCTCGACCTGTACGCGTCGGGCGAGCGCCGCGCCTACGGGCCACCCTTCCTGCGCGACCGCGTGGCGGTGGGGACGGACGCCTTTGCGCGCGGCGACTTCTCGCTGCGCATCGACCCGCTGGAGCCTGCCGACGAGGGCACCTACTCCTGCCACCTGCACCACCACTACTGCGGCCTGCACGAGCGCCGCGTCTTCCACCTGCGAGTCACCGAGCCGGCCGCGGAGCCGCCTCCCCGGGACTCGCCCGGCAATGGCTCCAGCCACGGTGGCGCCCCGCGCCCAGGTGCAGGAGGCCGCCCCGGGACCTGGGGATGCGCCTTTCCGGGGAGGCGTGTTTCGCGGGAGCCAGCCTGGCCCGCACCTGCGGGACTGGCTCTCGGGCTGGGGCTGCTCCGACCCGCTTGTCCCTTGTCCCAGGCCCACGCGGCGCAACAGCGGCGGCGGGGGTCGGGGCGCCCTGCGGAGGGTCCCTGACTGCGCCCTCGCTGGGTCCCCGCAGACCCCACGCTGGCGCGCGGCCGCAGCGTCATCAACGTCATCGTGCCCGAGGGCCACGCCCACTTCTTCCAGCACCTGGGCTACGTGCTGGCGGTCCTGCTGCTGTTCATCCTGCTGCTGACCACCGCGCTCCTGGCCGCCCGCCGGCGCCGCCGAGGTGCGTGAGGGCGGGCTCCGCGGACAGAGCAGGGGTCCGCTCGGAACCAGGAAGCACTCTCAGACCAGACCCTAACCCTGACCCTGAGCAGAGAGCAGCGGGGTCGCAAGATGGGGTCCTGGGGCCCGGGGAGCTGGGGAGGAGGCAACACTGCCCCCAATCCGAATCTCCTTCCCTAGGTTACGAATACTCGGACAAGAAGCCAGGGAAGCCACAGGGGTGAGTGGCCCTCCCCACCCTCCTGGGAACCAGGCGGTGCCCGCCCACTGCTGTAACCACCCACCACCCCCTCTCCAGGAAGGATCTGAACATGGTGGAGTTTGCTGTGGCCACAGGGGACCAGGCTGCTTACAGGAGTGAGGACATCCAGCTCGGTGAGGGGCTGGGACACCAAGGCACAGACTGTGGCTTCCAGCCTGGTCCGGGGAGGTACATCTCTGCTGGGGGAGACCTGACCCTGCTCTCCCTGCACCAGATTTTAAAAACAACATCCTGAAGGAGAGGGCTGAGCTGGCACACAGCCCCCCGCCTGCCAAGAACATCGACTTGGACAAAGGTGAGTGGCTGGGGGGACGTCCTCAGCCCACTCCGGACCCCTGCCATATCCCACTCTGCCCACTCCCAGGACCCCCAGAGGCAGGCACCAGCCAGCCCCAATGGGCAGGAGTCCCCCCTTCCCACACACACACCTTGGCTCTCAAGCTGCTGGAAGTCCTGTGGGGCATCTGCCCTGAGTTTCCCACTGGGGAGAAGTCAGAGGGCAGATGCCAGCCTGTCCCCTTGGCTTCCAGAGTTCAGGAAGGAGTACTGCAAATAAAGTGACCCCGGGCTTCTGGCTGGGCCAGCAGCTCTGTCAACTCCTGTCTGTCCACCTCGGGGGACATCTCCTGACCCTCATGCAGCTCACTTGGCCCCCTTCCAGCGGCTGGTCCCGCTTTTCTGGAACTTGGCCAGGCGCAGAGGCCACCTCCACATCCCTCTCCCAGGGACTCTGCAGCAGTGCAGCCACCGCCCTGCCCAATCACTAAGCTGCTCTGCAGCATGGCCTCCGTGATGGCCCTGGGGGCTCGGGCAGGAGGACGCTCTTGGAGGGGGCTCAGTCAGAACAGGCAGCCTGGGGGGAGCTGGGGTCTGCCTCAGGGCTGGCACCCCCTCCGCTACTCCTCCAGGGAGCTGCCTGCTGCCACTGAGCTCCCAAGCCCGCCCCAACTGCACTGTGCATTACTCCGAGCCCTCAGGCCACGCTCTGCTCTGAATGGGGACTTGAGGCTCAGTGAACTCCAGGACCCAGGCTAAGGCTCCTCTGTGTTGCATTGGGCCCCTGGGGTCTGCCCCATGGCCCTCCCTCTGCTTTCTACTCCTGCTCCCTGTGCTCTCTACAAGCTGTCCTGACAGTCACTGGGCTCCATGTGACTTTTGACCCTGACACCCTTCCCTTGGCTCCTCCCTGAGCTGGAGTTGGGGGTTGTGGCCACATTTGGCTTCTGTATTGGCTGAGAACAGGGGAAGAGGTGAAGACAGTTCCAGGGTAGCCTGTGCTGCCACTCCTGACACCCCACATTTGCTCCTGCTGGTGGAATTGCTACCATCACAATAAAGGCCACTTCTGATTTTTAGACAGCCCCAGGTGTGCCTCTGAATCTCCCCCTGCCGCCCAGGGAGGGGGCCAAGTGTGAGCTCCGGGAACCCTCAAATGCTTTCCTCACCTTCATCTGAAGTTCCACTGTCATCGCCCCTTCCCTTGAGTGGAAAGTCTGGGTCCATGTCCTCCTAGGGACAAGTGTTCTGGGAACGGAACACTGAGCCAATTCTGTGTTGCGTACTCCTGGTTGTGAAGGAGTTTCAGATCCTCTTCTCTTTTAAAATTTTATTTATTTAGAGATGGGTCTCACTCTATCGCTCACTGCAGTGGTGCCATCACAGCTCACTGCAGCCTTGAACTCCTGAGCTCAAACCATCTTCCTGCCTCAGCCTCTCAAGTAGTTAGGACTACAGGTGCGAACCACCACGCCCGGATGATGTTTCTTATTTTTTTTTTTTAAGAGATGGTGTCTTGCTATGTTGCCCAGACTGGTCTCGAACTCCTGAGCTCAAGCAGTCCTCCCACTTTGGCCTCCCAAAGTGCTGGGCAAATCTGAGGGTTTATTTGGACAAGGGGGAGGGGAACATGCTGGTGGCTGAGGACAGAGAGGGGAAGCTGTGTTAGTTCAGGCTTCTAGGAGGCAGGCACCAGGCGGGAAGGGAAAACCCGACTGGCAAAACGCTTCACACGGGGGTGCAGGCCTGATGCTGGGAAGGCAGGGAAGGAGGGAGGCTCGGGCAGAAAGTGGCCCAGACTGCAGGGCGCCTTCAAGTCAGTCCTGGCCAGGCCACCATGGGGTCCAGCACTGGAATCCTTTCCTGCTCGGTTGTTGGCTGGTCAGGTTGCATGGCCTCCACAGAGATGGGGGTTGGATTTGAAGGAGCGGGAACAATGAAGGGCAGGAAGGCTCTTGGCTGCACACACCAGTGACTCAGGTCTGCTTAGGGGAGCATTTCCCCACCCCTGACCCCATGCTCCAGAGTCCTCCCAGGATAGTGGGGGAAAGAAAGAGTAACAGTCACCCACGAGGACCCCATGGCAGCAAAGGTGGGGCAGGTTGGTCTGGGGAGGTGTGGCTTACAGAGATGTGGCTTGCTGGAGGATGCACTACCCTCCCAATCCAACGACCTCTGGCAAGGCCCTTCCTGTAAGGGCTCAAGCTCTGACCACAAACCCACCCCTCTTGGCAGGGCTCCAGCCTAACCTCACCAGGGGAATGCCCTCAGGCCTCTGGCTGCCAGCCTCTCTCAGACTAGGGCTGAGTCTCAGGTCGGAGCCTGAGGGCAGCTGGGTCTCATACCCCTTCACGAATGAGCTGTACCAGTTTCTCCTCTGATTTGTGCCTGGCCTGGGGGATGCAGGTCTGCCTGGTGAGCTCTCAGGGCAGGGGCTGTCATCCTCCTTCCCTGGGCCCCAGCAGAAAGCCCTCTAAGGTCTCTCTGCCTGGC